CGCTTCATGAGGACGCAGTCCTTGTATAGGTGCTTGACGAGGAAAGCATGGTTCGGGCATGGTCCTTCGAGCAGCTTCTCAAAGTGGTCCGAGGTACCCTCGGCAGGCTTCTAACCCCCTTACGATCGACGGTGGCCACGAGCAAGCCCTCACGCCGCCGCTTGTTCTTCTTCTTGTTGGGACGGTTGGAGGCGTCTTCGCCGGTGTCCTCATTCCACTTTGCCTTGCCTTTGAGGCGATCAAAAATCGTCCCGACCGCCTCCTCGCCTGAGACATGGCTGGTGGCGATGTCGAGGAGCTCCTTGGTAGTTCGTGGGCCCTTACGTCCTAGCTTATGAACCAGAGACTCGCAGGTGGTCCTAGACAGAAAAGCTCCTATGACGTCGACGTTAGCGACGTGGGGTAGCTCGTTGCACCGCCAAGAGAAGCGTCGGATGTACCCATGAAGAGTTTCCCCATACTTCTGTCGGCAATTTTTGAGATCTCATGGGTTCCCTGGACGCACGTATATAACCTAGAAGTTTTCTATGAAGATCTCTTTTAGGTCTGCCCAACTTTGAGTTCGGTTGGGCAGAAGGTGTTCCAACCATGCTCGCACCGAATCGGCCAGGAACAATGGAAGGTTGTGGATAATGAAATTATCACTATCCGCTCCACTGGCTTGGCAAGCAAGCCGATAATCCTCGAGCCACAGTCTAGAGTGTTTTCCTAGAGTATTTTGGGATGTTGGTCAGCGGTCGGTACCACGGTGGGAAGACGGCGTTGAGGATGTGTCGGCCAAAGGCCTGAGGCCTCGACAAATCAGGGCTCATGCTTCGGTCCTCGCCGCTGTTGTAGCATCCGCCACGATGAGGGTGGTAGCCGCGGTTTGCCTCCTTCCTCTCATCGCTACGGGCACGCTGGCGGGCATCCAGGGTGTTGCGCGCGTCATGGTGGAGGCCGCGACGCTCATGCACCGAGACCACAGTGTGCGGTCTGTCGCCTTGCGATGCCTGGTGGACTGATACGTCCCTGTTAGGTCACTCTAAGGGTATGCGCTGGTTGGCGTCGAGCTCGCGTCGTCGGGACAACAAGCTCTTGGCCTGCTGCGCCGCCGCACAATCAAGTAGCGTGCGAATATCACGATGGGCCCGACGATCCTCGGGTGTCGCGACCTCCGGAAGCCCCTGGAGTAAGGCGCTACAGCAGCAACGTTCTAGCTTGCCCGGGTGAAGTGTGGGAGGGCTTCATCGTCTCCGTGGCGCTTGATCTTTCGCTCGAGCTCCATGCATTCCTGCTCGAGCTAGAGTCGTGCTTCTTCAAGCTCTTGGTGTCGCGCCCTCAGCTGCTCTACCCGTAGGTGAGGCGAGGCCTCTGCATCCCCCACGACCTCATCGTCGAGGTCGTCTATTGGCGTAGCACCTCCCTCAAGGATGCTTTCGACGTATCCCTAAGGGGTACCTGCCATGAAACATTCTCGCGAGGGGTGTTGGCTCCCCCTGCTAGAGTCAGAGTTAGAGGGCGACTCTGATTCTCCCATGACATATTTGGTCATCCCCACGAACTCATCGTTCGTAGGGGATGGGGGCGTGCGCTGCGCCATAAGGTGGCCAACGGTCTCTGCAACGTTGCGCAGAACGAATGGGAGCGCTGTTGGGGCGCTCCAGATGAGGCATTCCGGGGAGAGCGGCTCTCCTTCGGCAAGCTACGTGATGACATTGGTGAATAAAAAGGTGAGGAGGCGTAGGTCCTCCTAGGACGATCGGGGTCCCAGAAAGGCACCAAGCTAGTGTTCTAGCCTCTCGTAATCGAAGCCAAGGAGCTAGTCGCTCCTGGGGGCGCGGGCCTCCGGTGCTTGTAGTTGCAGCTCCTCAAAGCGCCTCGATGATTGTGTCGAGGCCGGTGGAGTGGAGAGGCTAGATGGCGGTGGGAACCTGCGCTAACTCTCCCTCTATTGTAATGATGAAGTCCAGGTTCCCAAAGCGCACGTGCGCGCCTAGGACCCAGCTGACACCGTGACTAGCCATCCGAGGCCTGATGTGGACGTTGAGACGCGCAGAAAGCCCCTACCTGGTGCGCCAACTGTTGGTGTTTTCGGACCACCGATGAGTAAATTTTTATTTGCGCGTCTGGATCGGATGGTGTGCTTGGAGGACATAAGGTTTATACTGGTTCCGGCGAAACATCCCTACGTCCTGTTCGCTGCTGCTCATGTTACCGACACTTGGTTTGTAGTAGGGGTTACAAACAAGTGAGAGAGGGAAAGGATCCCAAGTCTCTCGTGGAAGGAGTGAACGGGTGTTGAGAGCTCGATTGCCACACAACCGTGTGCTCGTATCGTGCTCATATGTTTTTATCTCATGGTCTAACCCCCTTTCATGGGGCACCCTGCTTCCCCTTTTATAGGCAAAGGAAAAGTGCGGGTTACAGCGGAAGAAAAGGAGAAGAACGAGAGAGAGAGAAGAAGGCTTCCAGAATTGCCGGGTCCTTCTCCTTCATGTAGGTCCCGCCGATCCTACAGATGTCAATAGGGACGGCTCCATGTCGCGGTCCTATTCGTCACTGGCACCATGCGTAGGCGTCATCTGCCGGTCATGGCGTTCCACTCTGTCCCGGCGGACATCATGGTGAACTGACACGCATGTCAGCGTCCGTACGAGGATTAGGCAGAACAGTAACGGCACACCCGACACTATTCTTGATGTGAATCGCTAGGTATGGCCCGTCATAGCCACGGGTTACATCGAGGCATGCCAGCCTATTTTCTGGTGTCAGAGTTTTGACCCAGGCCGATACGCTTGGACCTGGAGTGGTTGGTGACGGTATGGGTCCCCGTCGGACGAGACGAAGCCCACGACCTTAGAGTCGGGCGAGACAGAGCCTGCGGCCTTAGGGTCGGTCAAGACGGAGCCCGCACCCGAGGGGTCGGGCGAGACGAAGCCCGCGTCCTCGGGGTCGGGCAAGACGGAACCCGCACTTGAGGGGTCAGGCGAGATGGAACCCGCATCCGAGGGTCAGGCGAGACGGAGCCTGCACTCGAGGGTCGGGCGAGACAGAACCCATGACCTTGGGCGAGACGGGGCCCGTGGCCTTAGGGTCGCTCGAGACCTTTTAATACATCTTGAGCCATCCGAGGAAGTCAGCGTGGGTGCTAACCTCCTTGCTTTGGGTATCCCTAATAACGATACCCAACAGCGTCCTTCGTTTCCCATGCCCACGTTGCATGGACACGTCGCCCTGCCCATGCCGCCTGCTCGCACACAGGAAGCACCTGCTTTAGCCCGCTTCCCGCGCACATGTGGGGGAACTGCCTGCACCCCCGCTCCGTATCAAGCATGTGGGGGACCGCTTGTGCCTGCTTCACACGGGAACAGCATGCACGGCGCCCCAGCAGCTGCAGCAGGTGGGTCTTGCAACATGTGCGACACCGGATCTACTTTTGTAACTTTCAGATGAAACACTTGCAACGTACATCTGAAACAACTGAAACACTTGCAACATACGCCTGAAGCATATGTAAAAACGCCTGAAAACACTTTAAACCCGTTGCAAGCATATTCAACATCCAGATAAACACACTTGTAACATATCCGTGAAACATATACGACATCTAGATAAATCCCTTACAACATACGTATGAGAAACAGATAAAACATTTGGAATAGACGACATCTAGATAAATCCCTTGCAACATACGTATGAGAAACAGATAAAACATTTGGAATAGACGCTTGCAATATGGGTGTATAGCGATTGCAACATATGCAACATCTCGATCTACTTTTGCAACATCTATGCGAAACACTTGCAACATACCTCTGATACATCTAAAACAATTAACACTCGCTTTCTGCAACATCTCCTTGTTGCTTGCCACACGGAAGGAGTGCAGCTACGCACGTGCCCCGGCTGCGCCAAGCCACCGTGCCGCTGCCATCCAAGATCATCCACGAGGAGGCCGACCATCAGCACGGGCGACGCGAAGGACATCTACGCGAGGAGAGGGCGGATGCGCATAATGGCAGCTGACACAGCACAACGTCATAACAAACAGGAGGGCCGCGCGGCTGCGTAGGCATGTGACAGAGGAGTTCATCTACTACACACCGTCGTTTGAAGGGCTGTGCCATGGGGTGACGGAGGAAGTGGCTGGAGAGGCAGCCACATCGGACACAAGAGCAAGGCGAGGACGATGCAAGGGCCAGCAAGAAGACGGGCAGCCGCGGCGGGCAGGAGGCACGACGGAGAGGGAGGAAGACGGGCGGTCGCACTCGGGCACGGCGGAGATGCTAGCCGGCGAGCGCCCGGACGCCGCGGAAAGTGCCGAGGCAGCGCGGCGGAGCCTCGTGCACGGTTGAAGCGTTGGAGTGATTTTTTTAAGAGACTGCGTGACTGAAGAATTTTTTGGAGAAGCAATTGGACGAGCAGACAAGATAGGATAGAAAGGGGTTGTTGAGCTCATGGCCCATCAACGTGTCTAGATGGACGGACGCCCTACAGAAAATATTACCGACATTTCTTCGCAGTGGTTTGGTTAGGCAAGACTTTATGTGTTTATATATATGATAAAAAAAAGACTTTATGTGCTTATCGTATCATAATATAATCATTGTTCCCAAGTTTGCGCTTCATGATTGAGCGTAGAACGGTTGAAGTGTATGCAACTGACGGTAGAGTTTCTGTCGTTAGTTGCGTAATTAAGGTTTTGACGGCACGGTACATATAATATTGATACGGCTTTAAGCATGCCATTGCGTGGCTAGTTGACAAGCAGCATACTGTAGCTACTGTCATGCAACAAATGCACAGATTACAGACTTGCCACTAGGATTCTCAAGGTAAAATGTCGTTTAGTTACAATCGATGTGATATTCACAAGGCACATGGATGTACACGGGAACTACTTAAGTTACAGCATACAGCAGCTGCATCTGAAACTGCCTCCAAGCAAAGTATATGCCCTTTTGTTGAAGATCACATGACTGCTGGAACACATGATAGCGCATTTACCTCAGCTCCGGTCACCGAACTCTTTTACATGAAAGCGAGGTGATCATCTCCTCATCCCGTAGCCGCTTTCCATTTGCATTCACAAAGCCGCAGGAAAATTTAACTGGTTGCTGCGTCTCCTCATCCCGTAGCCGCTTTCCATTTGCATTCACAAAGCCGCAAGAAAATTTAACTGGTTGCTGTGTCTCTGCTCCATAGTCCATCATCGATCACCCGTTGCCGTAACAAGCAAGACAGACAAAATTGTCAGTTGTCACTCACCTGAGGCGCATTCTACTTGCTTATATATGGATAATTATGAAGCACTATTTATAGTTAGTAATTAGAGAATTGGTCAGTAAGTAACTCACCTGAGTCGCGTTCTACTTGCTTGATCTTCTTAGCTGGGATTGGGTCGTCCAGCCTGAGTCTTCTCTTTAGACCAAGGATGATTTCATCGCTGAGTACATCGTGCCTTCGTTTTGGAAGAGCTGATTTGTTCTCTTGAGGCTTGCTCTTCTTGGGACATCTTTCTACTTCCACTCCTGGTTTTCGCTTTGGGCATGGAGGAGTTGTTGGATCTGAAGAATAGAATTTCACGGATTCAGACCAAATGATTGTGTAAACATCTGAAATCATCTTCCCCAAGCATATAGTGCATGCCATAATGGCATCCTTGTAGTATTAATATTAAGTAAATCATCTAGTATTAAGCAGATCAGGTAACACCCATGCAATATGCATAACAAATTCAATGTGCAGATCAACAAGTAGCACTTGATAATGAACCGACGAAGAATTGCCGCATGGCAATTACATGAGGCCCAGGATAATGAAAACTGAAATGACAAATCGTCAACATTACTGAACACTGAAGAATAATAGAGTATCAAACATTATTGTCTAGCCCAAGATTTTACTAAAATTTGTGTGAAACGAGTACACAACAGATGATACATGGAAAATTGGCAGCACTGATAACCTCAGGAATAAATGCACAATTTATAGTTATCAATCCCAAACATACACGCTACTTATGAGGTTTATGGTCCATAGCAGTAAGAGTGGTTCAGTAGCGCCACACTCTTTGCCTCTGGTGGTATTTGATCCCCATTCATCCCAAATAGCAAATATAAGTAGCTGCAAATTTCATAAACCGGTTGGTACTACTGATCAATGAAGCTAATAAAAGGACATAACAACCAATCAGGCATATGAATCCTGGACACTGCAAGAACAGAGACGTCAGTCACCCCACTTGATCCCTGAACCGCGACCGCACATTGTAACATTCAAAGATACCGCTCGTAATTTCTCTACCAGTTAGCAATGGGATCAATCAACTATTCAGAGTTCCTAAGGAAGCGAGGCTCAGAGCTCAACGCACCTGAGGCCGGCGCAGTTGGCGCGGCGGGCTTGCCGTGTACGACAACGGGCGCGGCGGCGTCGGCGCCAGTGGGCAGGCCGCGCTTCGCGAAGAAGGCGAGGAGCGCGCGCCACGTGACGGCAGAGCAGACGTGGCCGGGGCCGCGGCTGAGGAAGTAGCCGTTGGGGCGGACGGAGGCGGGGTCCAGCCCCAGCGCAAGCCCCACCCGCGCCAGGTCCACCCCGGAGCCGCCGTCCACCGCGATCGCCACGGTAACCGCTGGCGACGAGGACAACGAGCGACGGAGATGCACGGTGACGGTGCGGAGCGGCGAGCCCATGGCGGGCGGCGATGCTCTCCGGGGGACGGAGAACGGTCTGGACTCTGCTGCTGCTGCTGCCGCCTCTTTGGGAAAGGGAAGTCTAGAAGAATCGCTGCGCGGTCGGACTCGGGTCCGTGTCCGGGTCCGTGAGGTGAGACGGTCACTGAATCGTGGGGCCGGCCTTTCGTCCTTTGGCGGGCAACCAGTGGGATTAGGATTAGGATAGTCCAGCCCGCCGCAAAAATACATACTGTTTAACACTGCTTATGGGCTGGGTTGTCTTCCAGTTAAACTGTGGGCTTTGGAGAATCCCAATCGTTCGACCGTCGACCATCAAGTGGACTGGGCTTTGACGGCCTTAGGGCTGTTTTGGGGCTTTTGCGGTGAAGTACAAATGACCGGACCTACTACATCCAGCGGACTTTCATGAAAAAAATGAACCCGCCGATAATTTTGATGATATAGCAGCCAGTGGTATTTCATCATGAAAAAAATGAACTCGCTGATAAAAGCAGCGAGCGGTAGTTATATTGGAAAAAATGACCGTGCCAATAATTTCGATGATAGCATAGCAGCCAGTGGTAGTTCTATGAAAAAATTGAACTCGCAGATAATTTCGATGATCGCAGTGCGGAGTGCATGTGTATCCAAAGATAGGTTTTACACTTTTTACTATCTTGTACCGGTAGCACTCAAGTGCCCACTGGTATCTAAGGTCATTTTACTCATGATAATTTTCTGTTTGAAAATAATGAATCGTAGTATGAAGATACTATTAGATTCTATAAATTATATTGATTTTATATAAGTTTTTTAGTATATGTTAGTAAAGATTTAATTCTATAATGTGAATTTAATTAGTTTATCTAACCTTTTACAAAATTCGGTGTTGCTGCATTTTTTCCTTTAATTTTAAAAATATTTTTTAATCACAACTAAAAACATCAAAAGTATTTTATAATAATTTATAATAATTATTTAATAATATAAAAATAATTATGAAATTTTATTTAGGATAGCAAACATGCTACCTAATGTTGCAATGCATTACAACGGAATCCAATACATATAGTAATCAAACTCTTTATTATGGCTAGATGCGGGTGTTCTAATTCATAAACACATACTCACGTACGAGATACAGAGGGTGACCCAATACGTCATAAGTCTAGGTCACATACGAGATGCGGAGGGCGTAACCTAATATGTCATGGAATCGAACAGCGTATCGGTCATTACTAGACCCAAGTTTATTTTTGGTATGCTCACGAGACATGACTCTAGGTAACATATACGACACGAGAACATGAATGTGGCTGGAGAAGTAAAAAAAAACAACACCGCAGAAACTTTTCACGGAGAGATGGAAAAAAAATAACGAAATTTTGGTTCATTAATATTAGAATATATATAGATATACGTAGAATTTTATAGAACCTATACCTAGGACCGACATAAGATAAAACTTGTACTCTATGGATTGGATACTGCTGGCAACGGTGCCCCTGGTTTTGCGAGAGAAAACCGATCTAGTTCTCCATGATCGCGATAACTATGTCGTCATCACCCATCTTTAAATCAGCAACTGCATCATCCTGTACACTGCTCACGCGTCCGTTGGATCGCACGGAAGGAGCGTATTAGCGTAACTGACCTCCCGCGCCGCACGGATCGCCGCCCCCTCGCGGCCTTTTCGCACACCAACCCATCCGTTCGCACGCACGCGAAGAAGCCGAACCGGATAACCCCGCGCCCGCGCCGTACACCTGTGCCGCTGTGCGACACGGAGAAAACAAAAAAAAAGGAGGGGAGCGGAGCGAGGCAGGGCCCACACGGATTTGACCCGGTTTGCGTGCAACCCACGCAGTGCACCGGCCCACGAAGCGGCGGCCGCACCCGATCCGAACCCCGATCCCCGAACAGCCGCGCGCGCGCGGGGCTGCAGGTGCTCGCCAACCAGAGGCGCCGGTTCACTTGGGGCCACAGGAGGCCCGCGCAGGGAGGATCCGGACGCGAACCTCGTATCAAATCGGCTTATGGGCAGCCGTCCTATAAGAGGCCTCGAGTCCGCCGGCGCATCGCAACCCCACCACGAACCCGAGCCGGCCGCCGCCGCCTCCACCGATCGATCGATCGCCGGGAAACTGACACCTGCCGCTGCTGCTGCGTTCGGAGCCTTCGTCGACGATGTCTGGAGCCGGTGAGGAGGACAAGAAGCCCGCGGAGGGCGGCGCACACATCAACCTGAAGGTCAAGGGTCAGGTCAGCTCGCCAGTCGGTTCCCCCTTCCTCATCTTCTTCCCAGCGGCGAGGTAGATTAGCGCTGTTAAACCCGCCCCCTCGTAGCGATCGATCGTCGTTGCTCGGTTGTTTATCGGATTCCTAGGGTGCCAGCGATTTGGGATTGGTAGGTAGCGATGTCTCAGTTTTGTGCGAGCGAATGTTTGCCGATTGCGTTCGCCTATGTGCCCTAGGTCTCTCGGGTAGGGCCCCTCCTCGCATCATCGAATCCTATCGATTGACTTTGTGTTGACCCATACTTGCAGTACTAATTATCTGAATGGGCATCGATTGTTGATCATACAAACTGTACTAATTTCAATGGCGGAGTGCTCATCTTTTATTTCGCTAGATTGATGTTTGCTAACAGCAAAGTTGAATAGTGATATGCCTTACGTCTCGCATGTGACTCACATCTATTGCTAGTCAATCTGTACTGGGGTACTATGGACACTGGCAGAATTCTCGTCCTTAAGATTATAGTTGTATGTTGTAACGGTTTAAGCACAATAAAGTTTGACGATTTAAGCACCATGAAGTTTGATGGTTTAAGCACCATGAAGTTTGTTATGATTGTGAGATTGTAGTAAGTTATATATGATAGCCGGGAAGTTGGAAAACCATATGATTGTTGGTTGCTTTGTTCTCTGGGATTCATTTTTTTATCCCCACATGATTCTAAATAGAGGATTATCCATAATTCTGTCCTAAGGTAGGCCTAATCAATAGAGGTTTATCCTGTAGATTTACAGGATTATACTTGTTTATACTGTTATTTTTTGGGGGGGGGGGGGGGGGATATGGCTTGTATATGAGATAGTTCAGATTGCTCATAATTTATAGCTTTCCTGGTCTTAATTTTGTAAAAGAATTGTTGAAGTTGCCTAACATTTCTTTTATTCTTAGTTTGGGGTCTTTTATATATCATGGCATTGAATTTGTCTTAATGAAATTGTGGGGGGGATATGGCTTGTATATGAGATGCCACGAGTTCAGATTGCTCATAATTGTCGGTAGCTTTCCTGGTCTTAATTATTGTAAAAGAATTGTTGAAGTTGCCTAACATTTCTTTATTCTTAGTTTGCCACAGAGCTTTCGGTCTTTTATATATCATGGCATTGAATTTGTCTTAATGAAATTGTTTTGATCTGTCAGTTGTATTATGAGTTATTTTAAAGGCACTGCACATTAGCTTGCAAGTTGTTTATATTCTCAGGACATTTAATTTTGCCTAATTGTATCTTTTGTGATCTGTAGGATGTATAATCAGAGTTATTTTAGAGGCACTATAGTTTGCGTATAAAGAGAATTCCCACTAATACTAATTGGTTGGTGTATTTGGGATATGCTGCTTGACAGTGCACCTAAAATGCTTGTCAGACATTGACCTATTTGAGATAGTTCTAGGGTGTGTGTGCAAATACTCCATTCCTTAGTTCTAGGTAGTTTAATTTGACTGACATTTTGAAGTGTGTTTTTTATTTCTTGCTGTGTGTTATGTGGTCTATCAAGGACTTGTACACAGGTGACCTTAAATGATTAATACTTGGGTTTTGTAGGTCCATTATATTTGCTAAAAATTTTCATCGCCTAATGTAACTTGAGACATCTTTTAAGCATTGATCAAAATTTGAACTCTGTTTTTGAAAAAGTCGAAACTTAAATTTTAATGTATTTGAGTGATAGATTCTCTTCGGAGATAACAATATTGCGTCATCAATTTACTGATTGAGCTGCTCTATGTTTTGGTTGAACATTGCGGCATTTTACATGTCAGATTGTTTAGGTTACAATCTTCTGATATCGCTGTCTGTAGTATTATCTGTCACTTACTCTTTTCTTTATGATAATATGTAGGATGGCAATGAGGTGTTTTTCCGTATCAAGAGGTCCACCCAGCTGAAGAAGCTGATGAATGCCTATTGCGACCGCCAGTCTGTGGACATGAATGCAATTGCATTCCTGTTTGATGGCCGCAGGCTTCGCGGCGAGCAGACCCCAGATGAGGTGCGTGGTGCTTGCAAACCCACTTCTCTTCCAGTAGCTTAGCTCCTAGCATTAAGAGGAATCCTTGAGTGATATGCCTGTGCAGCTGGAAATGGAAGACGGCGACGAGATCGACGCCATGCTTCACCAGACTGGAGGCAGTGTTCCTGGCGCCTAGATGCAGCCGTTTCGGAGCCTCTTTTGCTGCGCCATGCTCCGCCTTCCCAAGCAGTAAATTAAAGAAGTCTTTTTAAGGAACTTGTGATGCTCTGGCACCCTGTGCCATTGCTGAGGGACATCATTAGCCTTGTTTAGTATGGTTTGGTACTTTGGTCTGTCATGACTCGTTTATCTATCCCCAAATGTATCCCGCCATGTTTGTACTCCCAATGATGTGCCGATGATTTGTTTTGTTTTGCCTACTCGAAGTGTGCTTTGCTTTACTGACCATCACTTGCGACCTCGCTCTGTACGCTTATGCTGAAATTTACGTAGAAATGTTGTGAAGGAAAACACCGTTCTGTGACTGAACAGTAACTCAAGCTCTGCCTCGCTTTCGGCTGTATTATGCTGAATGGACTGGATTAATTAAGTTGGGTATGGACGTGGATCTATCCATTTTTGGTAATTCAGGGATCTGTCACTTCAATTGATGCTACACCTGGTTTTTTAGTTGCACACCATTAGCAATAAGCAGTGATACATCCTCCATCTCAAAATATAAGGAGGTACAGCTAATGTCGGATATGATA